ACAGATCAGATATCGATAAAGCGTCGCTCATAATTACACTCTAAATGAAACGGGCGACGCGTTACTGAAACATTCATTCGAGTCTCCGGATACAGTGGCTCGGAACTATTAAACGACCGATATTTTACGGCGATCGAAAGTCTGGGAGTTATAGAACAACGCCGCGCCGGTGAATTATACCAGCCGATTATGGAGTGTTACTCTGATTCATTTATCCGGCGTAGAATAGCGCGAAGGGGTGTTGGAGGGCGGAGTAAAGAGGCAGGTCCATGGAAGGGAAATAATGGAAATATAGGACATCGATAGAAAATTATCCCAATCGATTATATCTAGAGCGGCACGTTAACGCGATAATTCGATAATGTGGCGCAAAGTGATTTCAAATATAATAACACAGGCCGCGCATTAATTTGCCGCGACACGATAATGCGAAAGGTGTTTAAACGGGCGGCGGACTGGCGGTATAATCGAATAACTCCGGGCCGGGACGCTATTATTTTTCCCGACGCGCACGGGTCTTAACGACGTAACACCGATACCGTGTTACCCGCCGCGATTCATCGGCAGTTTCGTAATTGACTGTATCGAGCTCCCGATTCGACCCAGATATCCTTTGAAACCGACTGAACTCTCCGGGGAATTATTTAAACGGCCTGCGAATCACGGGGCAATAACGGACCGGAAAGTTCGAACGTCTAATGCCAATATTGATTTCACGTCAAAATTTTCGCCGGCTATATCGCGCCGTGAAAAACGAACGAGAAGTCGGACGCCTAGAAAGTTTTATTCGAAACAGTAATTGACTCGCTGGCCGGCTTGATCTCGAATTTCCGCGTTCAGAGACACTGCACCCTATCGGCCAGATTCATTTGGAACCATAAATGTCTGTCCGATGCGGCGATGGGATTCTTCTCTGATACAGAGACGCTGATAATAATTATTTAAACGTAAATTAGTAGATTTATGAGTTAGCGATATAATAGTTGGATTGTTTATTAATTTATTTTTATATTTCCAATTTATTTAATATTCATAATTAGAATATTAGTTGAATTAAATCGAGCACCATTTGATTTAGTTGAAGATAAATCTCAATTAATATCTGGTTTTAATACTGAATATTTACATTAATTTTTATAGCTGAATATTTAAGAATTATATTTGTTAAAGTTCTTACAGTAACATTATTTTTTAGAGTAGAATTAATATGTTTAATGTTTGATATTTATTCTATAATCCGTGTGATTTTAATTATTAAAGTTCGTTGTACAGTGTGGAGCAATAACTATTATCACCTCAGATATCTTCGAAGTTATAAGTTTCACAGAAATATTTTCTGAAATAAAATCGATATGTTTTTGCTTCCGTATCATGATAGAGGATCTCAAAACGAATTCAACGACCCATTATATAAGGTCATTGAAGGTCATAGAAAGTAGGGAAAGGCGATAATACTTACGGTTTTGGTAGTAAGTGAAACATACGTTTATAGTAGGTGTTCGAAGTGGTGACCATCACTGTCAATGCAACATTAGATTCTTTTTACAATTGACTGACTTGCGAGTCTTATAGCGTAAGAACTTATTGACGCACAGGCTGCAATAATTCGCTGTTGCATGCCGTAAGGTGTAGTTGGTATTTCTTTGTACACTTTATCTTTCAGTGTTCCCCACAGGAAGAAATCTATAGGTGTTAAATCTGGTGAACGAGCTGGCCACAATATTGGATCGCCGCGTCCAATCCAACAACAGTGATGGTCATCACTTCGAACACCTACTATAAACATATGTTTCATTTACTACCAAAACCGTAACTATTATCGCCTTTCCCTACTTTATATGACCTTCAATGACCTTATGTAATAGGTCGTTAAATTCGTTTTAAGATCCTCTATCATGATATGAAAGCAAAAACATGCCGATCCATTCAAAGAATTGAAGTTGACATTCAAATGTACGAAGTAACTACACCTGCAAAAAAACTATTATCGCCACCGGACGACTCCCTTCGTACTGTGCAATTTTATTTCTGTGAAACTTATAATTTCGATGATATCTGAGGTGCCCCATATAATAGTTATTGCCCCACCCTGTATATATGCATAGATGCGTTAGCGATCGGTGTACCACTTTCAGCTACTTTTATGATTACTGCGTTTATCGAAATTTGAATTATCACTAATGCATGTAAAATTGAAAAAATAATTGTAAAAACAATTCAATCGATAATATGTATATATTTCTTTATTGGAACGTACGAATATACAAAATTATAATGTAAACAAGTGATGTAAACGTTTCGAATCTATTTCAAAAATACGAAAAACTACGGTAAGCGAAGGCATTCTCATTTTTCTTTCTTCAATTAACCTGATTAACCTGAATAATATAGTCATTATACTGTATTAGACTTAACCATTATGCCCACCTATTATCATATTTATGTATGATAAAATATAATTATTACCATATTACTTTATTCAATTGATGTAAAAAGTATGCAATTATATAAATTATTTAAACA